GCGCGCGGAGCCGGGGCGCGCAGGGAAGCGGGGAAGGGGCCGCCCCGCCGCGGGCGCCCGCGGCGCAGTAACGGAGTAACGGCCGCTGCGCGCCGGGTAACGGCCGGACGTCTCAGTAACGGAGTAACGGCCGCTGCGCGCCGGGTAACGGCCGGACGGCGCAGTAACGGAATAACGGCCCCTCCGCGCCGGGTAACGGCCGGACGTCTCAGTAACGGAGTAACGGCTGCCTGGCCCGCCCAGCGGCAGCCGCCTCGCCTCAGAGCTCCCGGTTCGCCATCCCGCCCCACAGCGCAGCCCGCGGGCCCGCCGGTCCCACCGTGCGGAGCGCCCTGCCCGGCGCTGACCTGGGAAGTGGCGCCAAGCGTCCCTTGTGTCCAGGGGAGCTCAGGCTGGCGGGTCAGAGCCGCCCGCGTGCGCAGGGCATCGCCCCTCGGGCGACCCTTTAGCGATGAAGTTTAGTACTGACTGAACAACCTGAAATTTCTGCATGGCCAGGCGTATTTATGCACCAAGTAAATGGTAAAGCTGAAGATGAACGTTGTYAGAGTAAGAGATAACACAGAAGATTCTGCAAAACATGAGAAAAAAATATGTATTAACAAGTGAAATATAGTGGTGATACTACTATGTTTCGATGAATGCCGTATGACTGCTTTTTTATAAAATAACCTCGGAGTGTCAGGCAGCCCTGGCATGTGATGCCAAAGGGTGTACTTGGCAGCTGGGAGCCACAAACGGCGGGGGATCCGCAGGGCAGGATGGGGCAYGCGGCCCTGCTGCCCCGCTCTGCCATGTGTGCCCTGCCTACCCACACTGGCAGCTCCTCAGCTGGGCAGAGCCCTCTGGGACCTGCTACCCCCGGGACCCACTCTTTTAATAGGGGAGGAGAGGGGGGTTGTGCTGCTGCATGGGTGCAGCAACATTGTTTTGCCTTAAATATCTTGTGAGAATCAAAGAGGACGGCGTGGTGTCTCAGATAAACTGGTCCACTCTTAGTKTCAGTACTTGGTAGGCTGTTACAGTACTGAAAACTATTACAATTTGGGGCTATTACAAACTACTAAAATTTCTATGATTCATTTTATGCTAAAAAACACAAATTCATCTGATTTGTGTTTTCAATCATCAGATTGAATTCAATACCTATTCCTGTTTTCCATCTGATTCAGTACAATTTCTAACTGTTTCTCAGACATAAGAGAAGTCCTGCTGACTACCTTATTTTGGATCAGCAAGAAAATGCTGTATTGTTTTTAAGAGAAGTAACTTTTATCTTTTGATCCTGTGCACTTGGGCAAGGCTGAAGAACTTTATTGACACTTAAAAAAGCTCCATACCACAGAAGTATCAAAAACACAGATAAAAGCCAGTGGTATAGAACCTGGTCACCAGCTGGAAATTAAGATTKGAGGCTTATTTTGGACAATGTGAAATATTATGGGACTATTTTTTTTTGATCTCTTGCTATTAAAAACTTAATTCAAATCCTGAAGGGATTAAGTTTTCTTTCACCTCACAGCTCAAAAACAGTCAGTCTACAGTCAGATTTTGGCAGTTACTAACAGGAAACATCTTGGGCATGCAAAGTTCTCGTGGACGTTTACTGCTATGACAGTACTTGTAATCATGAAGTATCTCATGCTGACTTAAACTCTAAAGCAAGTAGCTTTGACTATACTATTTTTGAGTATATTCACATTTGCTATGAGTAATTTTTTTTTGAGTGTGCTTAAGATAACTCATTCTTAGTTCACAAACCTTTAATAAGTGCTACATTTTCTCCAATGGGGAATTCCAGATAGAAAAAAAAAATCGCTGATTTTTAYGTGWCTTGGGCTTAACTTCAATTCTGAGTAGTACAAACATTTCTGAAGATAGTTCTTGAGAGCTTTAGTTTCAGAAGGCTGAAGTAGGGGAAAAAAAAAACACTCAGAATGAACCAGAATAAACCTGGAGYGGGTTACCAGACTCAATACAATGCAAAACRAACAAATAAAACCCACCCTTGGMACAGCTCCCTTGATGATCCTGGCCATTTTAACGACCACAAAACGTTTGTGCAGGCAGCTGCGCAGCACCACGCTGGTCAGTCCCGCCACGCGGTGCTTTGGGGGCACGACCCGCTCACTGGGACGGGCGCTTCTAGACACACGGCGGGCAGGCGGGCGGCTCTGCCCGAGTTCCTGCCTGCGGTCACCTCCGAGCTTCCGCACAGCTGAAGGATGGGACTGTCCGCACGGCCAGGCCTCGCGGGCCTCCCCGCAGAAYGCTCCTTTTCTCGTGGCTCAGGCGCACCGCTCTGCGGCTGCCGCGCCAGGGACAGCTCAGACTCTCTGGCACGTCCCGCTGGTCACCTCCGCACCGCCTGCGCTCAAGTCCCCCGCCCACCTTCACACCCTGCATTTTCCTCCACTGATGCGCTCATTTCTGCATTTCCCTGGGCAGCCTGTGCACACGGCGGTAGTTGGCTTCCCGCGTAAGGACACGGCTCCCCAGCGACGCCCTCCACGGCTGCGAGGGGCGCCGAACTCGGCCACTTCAGCCCGGCGCCCGCAGGCCGCCCCCCCCCCCCCCCCGCGCCAGCGCCGCCATTTTAGGTGACTCGCGCGAAGCGCAGGCCCCGCCCCCGCCGCCAGGAGGCAGTGTTCCCCCCCCCCCTCGCCGCGCAGGCGCAGTGCGCGACCGTGACGTCAGCACCCCCTGTGGGCAGGTGCGCATGCGCGCCAGCGCGCCTGCCCACGTGACTGCTGGAGCGCTTGTCCGAACACCCCGTGCRTTCCGGCTCACAGTGGCCGTTATCCTCGCGGGGCGGGGCCTGGTGACGTCAYCATCGCGTCACCGTTCGCGTCCTTCCGCCGCGCCCTAGCGACCGCGCGGCGTCGCCGGCGGCGGAGGAGGAGGAGGAGGCGGAGAGGGAGAGGTGGGCCCGGGGCCGGGCCCGCGGCGGCGGCTACGCCCGGGGCGGCGGCGGCCTCGGCCTCGGCCTCGGCCTCGGCCTCGGCCGCGCAGGGGCCGCTCGTGGCGGCAGCCGCTGCGCTGCGGCCGTAACGGCCGCGGCGGCCCGAGCCGCGGGGGTGGCGCTGTGGTGGCATCACCCGGGGCAGCGCGGCAGGTTTGAGAGAGGGGCGAGGCCGTTCAGCAGCTTGGCAGCTTTTTGTTTGTTTGTTTTACTTCTTACTTTAATGCGTTCTTTTATTCGTCTTTTCACTTTTATTTTTCCGCTCTTGGTGCTCTCCCATCCCGGCAGCTCTCCGGGCTTGCTCTCCTTATCTGGGAGCACYGTGTCCTGTCAGCGCTGCCCTAGGCTTGTCCACCTGGCCTCTGAACATGCTGGCCCCAGCAGAAGGTAGTTCCTATGTCCTCTGCAACGGCTCTCCCAGGACAGGTCACTTGGRTTAGGGCTGTGGTAAAAATCAAGGTTTGTGTTTGTAAAAGTCCCTTGATGATTAAACACCTATTGTACATAATTTGTAGCTTCCTGTGTGTAATGTTGCTCAGGATTGATCTTCCATAGCGTTTGCGTGCAAACGCCATGGTTTGGGTTATTTGGTGCTGGAGAGGCTTGCGGGTGGTGTCAGACCTGGGGGAGCCTCCTCAGGGGCTCATGGAAAGAGTGTCGGCTCCACCGCCGTGGGAAGCACCTGACAGACCTGCCCTAACTCCTCAAATCAAGGCTTCCGTCACTGTCATTTTGAACTTGCAGAACTTCCCCAAGCCATTCCGTTGTACCTCAATACCTAGTTTTCCAGCAGTGAAATGTAATTCTTCGAGTGTTTTGCATTTGCTGCTAATAAGCTACTTATTAATATGTGTTTAAAAAGGGAGATTGCGTGTTGAAGGCCTRTTAGGAATATAATTCCCACAGAAGATTCTTTTTCTCCCTCTGTGATTTAAGAGTAATTTCAGGAACTTTTTCAAGCATGTGAATGTGGTGTTGTTTTGGTTATGTTTTGAGACCAAGTTTTTTCACTCAAGGCATTCGCTTTAGGGAATTWGTGGATTCTTCTCTTGAGGGGAAACAAAGGCTTTCCAACTGAGAAAGGCTTACTTATATATATTTCTTTCTATAGTTCATTAGGAGATGTAGAAGTCACATGCAATGAGCTGCTCCATTCTTGGGCACTCATAGTTGGCCATGTGAAGGTGACAAGTTGATGATAATAAGGCCTATCTCAAATGGAATACAGCATTACTTGTAATTGTTTGAACAGGTTGAGAAAAGCCCCAGACCGGCTTCAGAAGAGTTATGGAGGCTGTGGGAGAAAGGTCCATCTTCATATTAGGTAAATATCCTTGACCTGTAGTCTGAAGGGATGGTCTGTGTCCTTGCTAAAGCTTAGAAGGATGCTATGAAAAACTGGTTTCTCACTGTTGAGMGCTGCCCCTTGATATGAAGGATGCCCGGTTACCTGATGAGGTGCAATCAGTAGAGGTCTGGCTTTACCAAGTTCTC